CCCGTGCCTTCATGGCTGTATGTTTGTGTGCTTTCATACATGTGCGTAGAAGGATCTTTTGTGCTTGTGCGTGCAGTGTTGAAGATGTACATCCACTGCCTGTTTGGAGGTGTATTTAGTTTATTCTTGTCTGCATGAATGTGCCGACATATGCCGTCGCAGAAACGAATGAATTCATGTGTGGAGACCTCGCTGCCCTTGCAGCTGAATGCAAAGACTGAGGAAAAATGACCCTGGCCGTGTGGCCTTGCCAGGGGAAGCAGCCTGGTATTCGCTGCCAGGGACTGATAGGGCATTAGAATCATGTTGCAAGGCTTTATATAGACATGGAATGTCCGCAAAATTGCGAAATTCTGTTCTATGATTGCAGGTTGTTTGGGTTGGGACCCTTTACCCGCTCAATGGTCAAACGAACAACTGATGAACAATGACGAACAATAGTTTCTTGGGGTTGAGAAATCAACTGCGGGGCGACCCAATTAGAGCAAATCAATCGGGGGTTACCTTGGCCGCACTCGCAGATTGTTTTTGGGGTGCACATGGTTGTGCATATCTGAATATAACCTTGCTCCACTTTCTTTTGCTTTGGCTCAGGCCCTACAAAGCCCAGTGCATCACCGAAAGTATTGCCATGGCTGTGCCATCTCGGGTTCAGGACTGGTATGAGACAGTCCCGCACCTGATCTTGGAAGAAGGCTGGAATACCTACATCAACCAAGGGCACTGCAATTTGTGTCCAGGGGTGAGCTGATTCGAATTTGCGTGCAAGTCCATGTGGACCAGCTGGTGGAGAACCTGGCAGAGCTCCTGGTGCATCCAGAAGCGATTGCCCACTATGGAGGTGCCGACCGCTTCAAGCTTGATAGCTTGGCGAGCTTAGAGCTGTGCTCCTGGCGAAGCACTTGTTTAACAACTTGGCGAGTTTTCTGGCTTCAGCCTCTAGGCCATACATGGCCGTACTAGGCGGTGCATTTTCTGGTGGTCCATCGTGAGCTAGGCTGTTTGGATTTGTTTGGTTTGTAACTTGTAACTGGATCGCTGTTGCAAACGTGAGAGAGCATGACAGAAACTACTATATTTTCCTCGCGGTACAGTCCCGCCGTCGTGGCCCACCACTGCTTGCCGCTCGGGGAGCTTGTTGAAGATGCAGATGTGATTACCATCACGGATGGTGAAGCATGTGGGCTGGATTGCCAGATTCGCTTCACTCCACAAAGTCAGTGAGAGGTTCTATTTCGCACTACCTTCAGGCCTTTCTCAGGAACGCGAGCATTCAGAATGACTTCAAAACCTACGCTTCCCTACATGGATGCCAGCTGGCTTGCCACAGCCCGTGATGCGTTCGCCACACGTGTGGGACGGACATATTTGCACACATGTGCTTACTCTTGCTTTCCACCCTCTCTCTCTCTATCTCTCTATCCCTCGATCTCTCGATATCTCTATCTCTCTATTTCTCTATTTCTCTATCTCTCTATCTCTCTATCTCTCTACCTCTGTATCTCTCTACCTCTCTATCTCTCCATCTGCCTATCTCTCTATCTCTCTATCTCTCCATCTCTCTTTCTCTCTACCTCTGTATCTCTCTACCTCTCTATCTCTCTATCTGCCTATCTCTCTATCTCTCTATCTCTCCATCTCTCTTTCTCTCTATCTCTCTATCTCTCTAACTCTCTATCTCTCTATCTCTCTATCTCTCTATCTCTCTATCTCTCTATCTCTCTATCTCTCTATCTTTCTTTCACTCTATCTCTCTATCGCTCTATCTCTCTATCTCTCTATCTCTCTACCTCTCTATCTCTCTATCTCTCTATCTCTCTATCTCTCTATCTCTCTATCTCTCTATCTCTCTATCCCTGTATCCCTCTATCCAACCATCCAACCATCCAACCATCCAACCATCCATCCATCCATCGATCGATCTATCGATCGATCTATCTATCTATCTTTCTAATCTTTCTAATCTATCTAATCTATCTAATCTATCTAATCTATCTAATCTATCTAATCTATCTAATCTATCTAATCTATCTAATATATCTAATCTATCTAATCTATCTAATCTATCTAATCTATCTAATCCATCTAATCTATCTTATCTATCTAATCTATCTAATCTATCTAATCTATCTAATCTATCTAATCTCTCTTATCTCTCTTATCTCTCTTATCTCTCTTATCTCTCTTATCTCTCTTATCTATCTAATCTATCTAATCTATCTAATCTATCTAAACTACCTAATCTACCTAATCTACCTAATCTATCTAATCTATCTAATCTATCTAATCTATCTAATCTATCTAATCTATCTAATCTATCTAATCTATCTAATCTATCTAATCTATTTAATCTATCTAATCTATCTAATCTATCTAATCTATCTTATCTATCTTACCTATCTTACCTACCTTACCTACCTTACCTATCTTATCAATCTTATCTATCTTATCTACCTTATCTATCTTATCTATCTTATGTATCTTATCTTTCTTATCTTTCTTATCTTTCTTATCTTATCTATCTTATCTATCTTACCTATCTTACCTATCTTACCTATCTTACCTATCTTACCTATCTTACCTACCTTACCTATCTTACCTATCTTATCTTTCTAATCTATCTAATCTTTCTAATCTTTCTAATCTAATCTATCTAATCTATCTAATCTATCTAATCTATCTAATCTATCTAATATATCTAATCTATCTAATCTATCTAATATATCTAATCTATCTAATCTATCTAATCTATCTAATCTATCTAATCCATCTAATCTATCTTATCTATCTAATCTATCTAATCTATCTAATCTATCTAATCTATCTAATCTATCTAATCTATCTAATCTATCTATTCTATCTAATCTATCTAATCTATCTAATCTATCTAATCTATCTAATCTATCTAATCTATCTAATCTATCTAATCTATCTAATCTATCTAGTCTATCTAATCTATCTAATCTATCTAATCTATCTAATCTATCTAATCTATCTAATTTATCTAATCTATCTAATCTATCTAATCTATCTAATCTATCTAATCTATCTAATCTATCTTATCTACCTAATCATCTATCTAATCTTTCTTATCTTTTCTTTCTTATCTTTTCTTTCTTTTTTTTTCTATCTAATCGATCTAATCTATCTAATCTATCTAATCTATCTAACCTATCTAATCTATCTAATCTATCTAATCTATCTAACCTATCTAATCTATCTAATCTATCTATCTATCTAATCTATCTATCTATCTTTCTTTCTATCTATCCGTCTATCTATCTATCTATCGATCGATCGATCTATCTATCCATCTATCCATCTATCCATCTATCCATCGATCTATCTATCTATCTGTCTATCTGTCTATCTATCTATCTATCTATCTCACTATCTATCTATCTATCTATCTATACCTGTATGCGTGTGTGTTGCATCGTTCTACAATAGTGTGTCGTCTTATAGCTTGTTGCACATGACGATATGTTGTTGAATGCATCGCTGTTGGTTTGCATTCTTAGGTATAGTTGGTCAAATTTAAGCGCCTCTTGCAGTGTTTCCACCTTCTAGCCTCTTCACGAAAGTCAAACATGCAGGGGTTGAGGTTGGTTTCAGGATTAGGGTCTATCAGTATCAATCATTGTTGGGTGAGACCAACACCATCAACAACCAGTCAGTAAGTGCCGCAAAATATAGATGTCTATTGAAGCTTTCGATACTTGAAACAGACCACCCTTTTGATCACAATGAGATTGAACCATGATGAACTATGTTGCCAAAGGCAGTCATGGTACCTTTCATGTCAACCAGTTGGCTCACACATACATACACATACATACCGTAGCCACACAGAAGCTTAAACACAGATACATATTCATACGCAACCATACATAATCATACATACGATGCACAGCTTTGATAAATTCACATGGCCATACATAGACATAGCCGTACATAACCATACATTAGTACACTTACATACACACATACATACATTACATACGTACGTGCAGGCGTACATACCCAGTACGAACATACATAGATGTGACATGTGGTATCTTCACTCTGTTTGCCATGCAGCAAAATCACACATGCCATCCATCATATACCCACCAAAGTTTCCACCTGTTCATTCATATACATGTATGTTTTTTTGATTTTTTCCCTTACAATTAGTCCTATACAAAATATACAAATGTGTTCTGCAAGGCAAAACGGTTTTTCCCATAATCGCTGAATGGTTACCGTGATTCTTCACTCAGCTCCGGCTTGTGCTTTGCCATCATACACACACACACAGATATGCTGTAGTGTAACTTGGTAAAATTGCACTCTGGTGGCCTGCAGTTGCCTGCTGTTCTGGATTCATTATATTGGAAGTGCAAATTCATCTGAGAGTGACCCACCCCAGCGGAGAGATTGCAGTTTCGAGGCGACCTCGTATCCTTCCAATGTGTCGTGGCACGCCACGAATGGTGTCGAGTGAAGGAGCGCTTCAGCGACGCTTTTGGGATGCACAAGAAGGCATGCCGTCGTGCCAATGGCGGCTGCACTGCTCCCATTTTGAAGGAAGAGGATCGGCCATGATCGGCCACGTTTTTTTTGCAACGAGACTTCGGCTTGCACCTGGTGCCACCCTCTTATCCATGCATGGCAGACATTCAAAAGATTTCAAAAACAAATGCACTGACTCAATTCTCCGCTGTGAGTGATGCAAGTACAGACAACAAGATCACAATATACTGATATACTATATACTGGTTCATTGATGAGATGATAATAATGACGATAATATATTGATACATTGAACATTTGCATGACTGAACTTTGCAACGATAGTAGCACTCTTTAGAATAGTTTCTGCGAATGATTGCACCAGGATGATGTCATATTATAATTCTTTTTATCACAGCATATTATCTTTCACCATTATTCTCGGGGTCAAGGAAAGACCGACATGAGACAACTTTTGCTCCAGTATAGATCAGGTAGGATAGGTAGGCATCTTCACTTCTCCCGATTGAGCTTCGTTCGGCACACATTTCTGATTCCCACCGTTGTGCTAGCCCATAGCCGAGTCACGGTATCGCTGGGAACATGTTTCCCCTCCCTGGGTCCCTGCCCCCCCCAAAAAAACAAACTTCAAGAAGTAATCTGCCCTTGATTTGCTTAATCTGTTTCCGCAACCCAGCACAAAGGAGAGGAAACTTGAGCTTGCAAGGCAGCATCTTGTGAGAAAAGTGGCTGAAACCTCCAAACGCAAAGTGGTACACCGAACCTTCGTGGATGTGGAGATGGAGCCTTCACCACAGAAAGCTTCGCGTTCAATTCGCGAATTTCGCAATTTTCGCAAGCGTTACACCACCAGCTTTTTCCACTGTTGAAGCGCTCGGGTTCCATAATTTTCAGTGACATTTCCACTATTTTCTGTACAGAGCACGCGGTCACTTGCTGCTGTCCCTCCCAAGCCTGCACCGTATAGTGTGCAACAGGATTCACCTTGGTGATCTCGGCAGATGGTCGCTGATGTGCTTCTTCAAGTGACGAGTGACGCTTTTGAGGCTTCTCGATGATCTCAATGTTTTGTTCTAGCTTCCCTAACCATTGGCATAGAACAGAAGAGCAACTGGCATAATGCGCTCCTGACAGCAAGCTGTACAGAGCCATTGCTTTTCATGGCAATTTCACAGCGCAGAAAACGTCATAATTTGACTTGGCTGTGAGCCTGCAGCACCTGCTGATGATCACATCTATATATTATATAAACCAATCAGGAGCAGGCGCACTTCAAAGAAGAAAGCGTCCTCAGAACTATCTTTCCAGCAAAATGATGCGCATTCTTAACATGGTTCAGCAAACAGATGCAACTTAGCCCGAAGATATACCAAGAGATAATTGTACAGGTGATGCAGTGATACAAGTAATAGGATGGTACATGTTGGTACGAGTGGTAAGAGTGGGTACCTATGAGCGGTACATAGCGGTGCAAGTGCAAGAGACGGTCCGTTTCGATCCATTTTGCCTGTACCGCACTGTGGAGGACTTGCCCCAGTAAATTCTACTTTCAGAAGACGGCAGCCTGCATGCAGAACGAGCCAGGTGGTCAGTGCAAGGGAAGCAAGGCTCGGCCCATCCATTTCCTTCGAGGATTTTTTTTAAACGTCACTGAAGAAGCGGTTAGCAAAATCTTGAGCAAGACGACACCTTCAAGAGAAACAAACGGATGCGACAGACGAAATTGGACTCCCATGCATCAAGCACAGCTCTGACAGACTCTGACACACCAAAACAGGATTGATTTTGACCCTGACAGCTTCACAAAGTCTAGATGCCACGCATTGCAGGTGACAGGAGAGCGGGATTGAGACTTGGCTTCGTCTTGACTTGTCCCATGGCAGTGGTGGCAAATTCCAAAGAACTCGCAGCTTTATGAGCATTTATTTAGCAATAATAATATCATGCAATATCTATCTATTAGCTCCGACCCCCTTTGCATGAACGCGGGCTGACGATCACAAGCACCAGGGACTGATCTGACTCGTCATCGCCCAGGTACATACACCATTCAAGAGGCAGGTGAGATTCCTCTTGACGACCTCTCAGGTGCAGACCTGGGCACTTGTCACATGTCGTAGTCTAAGATCCACTTCAGCCCAAATTGCACCGGCTTTTCCAATGGCCAGTCAAACAGTTTGCTAGTTGGTTCATGTCGGTTCTTTTCTGTAAGAGCTGTGTTGGAAATCCAGACTGGAAGATATGAGAAGAAACCCCGTCCTGAACGAATTGGCAAACGGTGCTGGAAGTTAGTTTTCATTCGGGCGTTGGGATGAAGACCATGCGCTTACTGAATCTGCCCGTGGTGAGTTGCAGAGACGTGATCTTCTGATTTTACTTGGAAACCTGGTAGGACGTGAACATTCAAGAACTGTTTTCGACACCTTTGCAAAAATTCCTGAACTGACAAAGGTGGAACAAAAAACGTTTTGGAATTGTTTAGCGAGATTGACACTGCACGTTACAAACGAGATTTTAAAAGAACGCTTGACAAGCCAGAGGGCGCCCGATATGTGGTTAAGTTTGCTGCGTGCCTCGCAGTTGAGTTGGTGGAAGCAGGTGAAAGGGTATTCAGAAGAAGTTTGCGGTCACAAATGCAAAACATATTTTTCCCGGTCAGTGATGAAAGTAGCGATGAAGTGGAAATTGTTCGAGTTTCACACGCGCCCGGTTTTTAGCTGAGGCGTTTTCAAGCGTTAATGTGTTTCCTCTCTCTTTGCTTGACTCTGTCCCGTTGGTTTCACAGTGTTATACATTTTTCCCCACATCTTTGTGTGGGGTTTGTGTGGGGTTCTTGTTTTTGATTCTGTATCCCGGCTCCTCCGCATCCGCCTCCTCCTCCTCCGCCGCCTCCATCTCTCACACACAACTTTCATTCACACACAACTTTGTCAACCACCATCTTTAACACACAACTTTCTTTCACACACAACTTTGTCACACACCATCTCTCACATACAACTTCGTCACACATCATCTTTCACAAACAGCTTTATACAACTGTCACATACAACTTTGTCACACACCATCTTTCACATACAACTTTGTCTCACACCATCTTTCACATACAACTGTTTTGCGTGGCAGGCGTGGCGCTTGGCGACGTCTGCCTTCCTTTCATGCGGCGCTTTGCGTGGCAGGCGTGGCACTTGGCGACATCTGCTTTCCTTTCATGTGGCAGGCGTGGCACTTGGCGACACGTGCCTTCGTTTTGTGGGGCAGGCGTGGCACTTATGGCACTGGGCTGGCTCTGGTGGCGCGCTTGGGCTGGTTTTAGTCGCCGGTGACGCCGCAGCGCTTTGCGTGGCAGGCGTGGCACTTGGCGACATGTGCCTTCGTTTTGCGTGGCAGGCGTGGCACTTATTCTGACATTGGGCTGGCTCCGGTGGCGCGCTTGGACCGGAGTGGTCGCCGGTGATGCAGCGGCGCTTTTCGTGGCAGGCGTGGCACTTGGCGACGTATACCTTCGTTCTGCGTGGCAGGCGTGGCACTTGGCGACGTATACCTTCGTTCTGCGTGGCAGGCGTGGCACTTATGGCATTGGGCTGGCTCTGGTGGCGCGCTTGGACCGGATTGGTCGCCGGTGACGCCGCGGCACTTGGCGTCGCAGGTGTGGCACTTATATGCACATATGGCATTGGGCTGGCTCCGGTGGCGCGCTTGGACCGGATTGGTGGCCGGTGACGCCGCGGCACTTTGCGTCGCAGGCGTGGCACTTATATGCACTTATGGCATTGGGCTGGCTCCGGTGGCGCGCTTGGACCGGATTGGTCGCCGGTGACGCCGCGGCGCTTTGCGTGGCAAGCGTGGCACTTGGCGACACGTGCCTTCGTTTTGTGGGGCAGGCGTGGCACTTATGGCACTGGGCTGGCTCTGGTGGCGCGCTTGGGCTGGTTTTAGTCGCCGGTGACGCCGCGGCACTTTGCGTGGCAGGCGTGGGGACTTGGTGACATCCACCTTCGTTTCACGTGGCAACCGTGGCACTTGGTCACATCCACCTTCGTTTTGCGTGGCAGCCGTGGCACTTATGGCACTGGGCTGGCTCTGGTGTCATTCAAGACTCGTTCACACACCATCTTTGTCACACACCATCTTCACACACCATCTTTCACACACATCTTTGTCACACACTATCTTTGTCAGACACCATCTTTCACACACAACTTTGTCACACACCATCTTTCACACACAACTTTGTCACACACATCTTTGTCCAACACCATCTTTGACACACAACTTTGTCACACACCATCTTTCACACACCATCGTTCACACCCAACTTCCACACACCACTTTGTCACACCATCTTTCACACACAACTTTGTCACACACCATCTTTGACACACGACTTTGTCACACACCATCTTTGACACACGACTTTGTCACACACCATCTTTCACACACACCATCTTTGACACACCACCTTTGACACACCATCTTTCACACACATCTTTGTCACGCACCATCTTTGTCACACCCCATCTTTCACACACAACTTTGTCACACACACCATCTTTCACACACAGCTTTGTCACACACCATCTTTCACACACAACTTTGTCACACACCATCTTTCACACACACCATCTTTGACACACCATCTTTGACACACCATCTTTCACACACATCTTTGTCACGCACCATCTTTGTCACACCCCATCTTTCACACACAACTTTGTCACACACCATCTTTCACACACAGCTTTGTCACACACCATCTTTCACACACAACTTTGTCACACACCATCTTTCACACACCATCTTTCACACACATCTTTGTCACACACCATCTTTGTCACACGCTGTCTTTCACACAACTTTCACACACTGTGGGGTAATGGTGAGTGGAAATTGTGAAGGATGTCACCGTCGTCGCCTAATGTCCTGAGTTACCTGTCATCGCAAGCAGGTTGAGAACGTCACATTCGAAGCGGTGACTTCTGGAAAATCAAAATTTCAAACTGTCGAAAAGTACCTAAACAGCCTGACTAGAACAGCTTGTTCAACCGTTTAATACATTTCAATCGAAGGCAGGTACGTCACGTCACGGTGATCAGCCATGATATCCGCATGTACTGTGGCCGCTTCGTTGGACCATCGCACACAGCACATGGATGGTCCCCCTGTTTCATCAAGATTACACATGCACGATGGAAAAAAAAAACTGAACCGTTTGCTATAACGGTGTACGCACACACACACAATGGCCCCGATGTGGGGCATACCACGGATCACCGATTTGTACCTAGCAAATCTAACCTAAGGAGCCTACCTGAAAAAATGAATACCTGGCCTGAAAAGAACCTGATGATACCTGATGACAATGACAAGTGATGTGAGAGACAAAACATTAGACCATGTTCTATATCTCTTGCATCCTGACACCAAAGAGACGAAAAACTTGGGTCCCGACGTGGAAGAATGAGTTCTGAAGTAAAAAATTGTACAAAATCCCAAAAATGAGACAGTTTGAATTCTCGAAACTGCTTGCTCTGAAGTCGCCAATGACCCCGAAAATACGTAATGGGGCAAGCTGCAAAGCACCTAGTTTTTTGACATTTTTTGACCTAGTGAATCTGACCTAAGGAGCCTGCCTAAGAGAATGAATACATGGCCTAAAAAGAACCTAATGACGATGACGAGTGAAGTGAGAAAGTAGTGACAATACCATTGAGACTCCGACCACATAGAAGGTTCGCTGCACTTGTAGTGTTTGGAACTTCGACCTATGTCTTCTTTGTCCGAATTGGACGAACTTCTGCCTTATGGCTTCTTCGCCTTATGGCTGCTTCGATTTGATTTTACGGTGTAAAATCTTGACTTCGTCATATGACACTTGAAATGCACTCTGACTGTATACGGCTTCGGGGATTCAGTCTCCACTGAATACGGGAAAATGCCCGCTCATGATTTTCTGATTGGTCGAAACCAACCGACGGTGCGACCAAGTCAGGTCCAACACCCATGACACACTGTGGGGTAATGGTGGGTGGAAATTGTGAAGGATGTCACCGTCGTCGCCTAATGTCCTGAGTTACCTGTCATCGCAAGCAGGTTGAGAACGTCACATTCGAAGCGGTGACTTCTGGAAATCAAAATTTCAAACTGTCGAAAAGTACCTAAACAGCCTGACTAGAACAGCTTGTTCAACCGTTTAATACATTTCAATCGAAGGCAGGTACGTCACGTCACGGTGATCAGCCATGATATCCGCATGTACTGTGGCCGCTTCGTTGGACCATCGCACACAGCACATGGATGGTCCCCCTGTTTCATCAAGATTACACATGCACGATGGATAAAAATTGAACCGTTTGTTTTAGCGGTGTACACACACACACACACGCACAATGGCCCCGATATGGGGCATACCACGGATCACCGATTTGTACCTAGCAAATCTAACCTAAGGAGGCTACCTGAAAAAAATGAATACCTGGCCTGAAAAGAACCTGATGATACCTGATGACAATGACAAGTGATGTGAGAGACAAAACATTAGACCATGTTCTATATCTCTTGCATCCTGACACCAAAGAGACGAAAAACTTGGGTCCCGACGTGGAAGAATGAGTTCTGAAGTAAAAAATTGTACAAAATCCCAAAAATGAGACAGTTTGAATTCTCGAAACTGCTTGCTCTGAAGTCGCCAATGACCCCGAAAATACGTAATGGGGCAAGCTGCAAAGCACCTAGTTTTTTGACATTTTTTGACCTAGTGAATCTGACCTAAGGAGCCTGCCTAAGAGAATGAATACATGGCCTAAAAAGAACCTAATGACGATGACGGGTGAAGTGAGAAAGTAGTGACAATGCCATTGAGACTCCGACCACATAGAAGGTTCGCTGCACTCGTAGTGTTTGGAACTTCGACTTATGTCTTCTTTGTCCGAATTGGACGAACTTCTGCCTTATGGCTTCTTCGCCTTATGGCTGCTTCGATTCGATTTTACTGTGTAAAATCTTGACTTCGTCATATGACACTTGAAATGCACTCTGAGTGCATACGGCTTCGGAGATTCAGTCTCCACTCTGAATACGGGAAAATGCCCGCTCATGACTTTCTGATTGGTCGAAACCAACCGACGGTGCGACCAAGTCAGGTCCAACACCCATGACACACTGTGGGGTAATGGTGAGTGGAAATTGTGAAGGATGTCACCGTCGTCGCCTAATGTCCTGAGTTACCTGTCATCGCAAGCAGGTTGAGAACGTCACATTCGAAGCGGTGACTTCTGGAAAATCAAAATTTCAAACTGTCGAAAAGTACCTAAACAGCCTGACTAGAACAGCTTGTTCAACCGTTTAATACATTTCAATCGAAGGCAGGTACGTCACGGTGATCAGCCGTGATATCCGCATGTACTGTGGCCGCTTCGTTGGACCATCACACGCAGCACATGGATGGTCCCCCTGTTTCATCAAGATTACACATGCACGATGGATAAAAATTGAACCGTTTGCTTTAACGGTGTACACACACACACAACTTTGTCACACACACCATCTTTCTTTGTCACACACCATTTTTCACATACAACATCATACAACTTTGTCACACACAATTTTTTTTACTTCTTGATCCTCCACCACCTCCTTTGTCTTTCCTTCCTTCCCCGTCCCCGCTACAACATTTGGTGCTCATTATTGGAAGAAGTTGCCTTGTGGGGTTATCCGGTCCTTTAATTTGGCTAATATCAAGCACGCTATGTTGAGTCAATACGCCGCCGCACTTGCTTGGGCGAGTGCACAGGGCGCAAGAACCGAACAGAACAGATGAGCAACACCTGTGCCGCATTTGTCTTTTCCCTTTGATTGCTGTTGTTTGCCTTTTCTGCGGTAATTGTAGTATATACGATATGTAAAAATAAATAAATAAATATATATATATCGATATATATATATATTTATATATATTTATATATATATATCGATATATGATGATATGTACTCTAGTGTGAAGTGAAGTGAGAATCTTTTGGCTGTTTTGTCGGGACTGGCTGTACGTTTTTGCCCTCCAGGCATCAAGAACTACAACGACGTTTGCGAAAGCACAGGCGTCCGGGAGTATGATGAGCTCACTGACAAAGGTACTGGTACCAGCTTCTGGAACGGACTCTGTGGCTGCACTTCAGTGTCGAGTGAAACAGGTCGTGAAGAAAACTAGACATCACGACATGCATCATGCCTTTTAGCCCTCTGGATTGCCAACTGCCACGGGTTTGATGGCCTCAATCGATTTTGCACTGGTTTTTAGATGGTCGCTTCATAGGGACGGCCGGTTGAACAATACCTAACTCCTATGCAACAGATGCATCCAAGGGAAGGCGGACCCTAAGAAAGGCAAAGAACGTGTGAAGTTCATCACAGACCTCTTTGCCAAGCGTTTTCCCCAATTTCCTGCTTTGCTGGAAGACCCTGTTTGCGACGCTTGATTTGTCTCTCTTTACTGCCTTCCATGGCACCGGCGATGCCCGGTATGTCCATGGTCAAAATGGATGGATTTTCGAGGCCATTTCGTAAATCTGTGCTACACCTCAAAGAATCTGAATATCATTTGCAATGTTATCTCCAAGTGTCCAAGTGTGATATAGTGTGATGCGCACAGCAACATGCAGTTACTGAAAGAGTTCCTCACCGGAAGTGTTCGTTCAATTTTTGTTCCTTTGCCGTCAAGTCATGTCATGCTCTGACTTAAGAACTTCCACCAAAATTTAAATAGCTGGTGACTGCTGACTGAGCTATCCGCCTTACTCTAGGTTCCCAACGTGTTTTGATGGTTGACCCATGGGCCTTTAAAGGGGAAGGCAGCACACAATTCGTGCACGGATTGAAGAGCTTCGCTGCCAGATCCCAAATTTGAGCAGTTTGCTCCTGGCTTGAAATTTGGGGGACGGTCGAAATTTGTGAAATTTGCCTTTCCAGATTTTCCAGTCTTGACATGTCATGAAGACTCATGAAGCTATTTGAGGTGACCAGGGATGCATGGCTCGAAGCTCTGACTCCAAGTAGCACCTGGGTGATTTTGGCTATAGACCATTGCACACCAACCAAAAGGAATTGATGTGCGGCGCGGCTGAAGAATTGTGGTGACTTCGAAGGTGGCTTTGCCTTTGAGGTAAGTTAGGACGAGCTGTAATCCCATTGATACTTTTGCAGGTGGGGTGATTTCTAAAAGCAAACGCCGCGAAATTGGCAGCAGATTGCAAGGAACCGCGAGATGCAGCTACAGTTTTACGATTTTTTGCATAGTTTCAAATAGTTCTCGTTCATCGCACTTGCTTACTTTGTAGCTGACTGTATGCGCGCCTCCAAGTCGAAGGTTTGAGTAAACCCCAAAAGAGACATGTCTTTATGCCAAATCCCTTGATATCCGTTTGATATCCCTTTATCATCCTTTCTCTGGCTGAGCTGGCTGCTGCCAGATCCAGACCTCAGCACAAGTCTAATTACGAAGTTGGATTAGCATCAGATGCGCAGGTCAGAAACCTGGGTGAACCCGTGGCCTGTGGCCCTGGAGATGCCAGGCGTGTTTGATTTCCGCCCCTTACGGAAATACTTGTTTCGATTTGACGATTTGATTTGAGTATTTTATGCGATCTTTTCTCTGGGTCTTCTCTGAGTCTTGTCGGGATCAAAGTGTATCAACATTTAATGTATCCAAGATATCTACATGTATCGCACGACTGATAATTATTGCATGGAGGACCATGGAGGAGTGCATCAATGCCATGGGCTTCTGCTGCCACCGGATGCCAGGCTCAGTGCGGCTAGCGCGGCTGGCGTGCGGCTTGAAGCACACTCTCTTTCTCAGTGCAGCTGGGGAGTTGCCAGGGCCGCAGCTGTCCCTGCATTTGGTGCCGCATCCCCGTGGCGCGTGGTTTGTTTTCATGTGTTTCAACTGTCCAGGTCAGCATGATTCAGCACACTTTGGCCATGACCCGGCAATTGCTTTGAATGCTGGAGCTGATTTTCGTAGCGTAAATTTGAGGGTCTTGCATCGTGAGGCTTGGTTGTGGCCAAAACGCGTCATGCTGTGCACGTTGAAGATGCACTTGCAGCTGCTGGAGCCCAGATTCCTAAATCGAAGGGTGGGGGGTGTTGTTCTCAAATTTGGAAGAGGCTGCTGTTGATTTGAGCATCAGATTTGATGATGGAAATATTGTTGGGAGTTGGGCGCCCGCGGGACAACAAGTAACAGCAATGGCAATAATCAAGAAGTGAGACGATGAAGTATATAAGAAGCACCAAGAAGCACTAGATTTTGTGGGGGTCAGTGGTTTCCAAAAGTTGAAATTGAAACGGCAAGCTCAAAATGCTAAAGAGGAACGGTTGTCACTGCATTCAAGGTGTCTTGGCAGATTTCATGACAGCTTGACAAGATCACAACAACCTTAGTCACTTCAAGTGAACAAGGAAACATCATGAAGCACCCTTAATCGTTCCGACTACAGAAACTACACCAATTGCAAAACAATTGGCCCACCTCGTTGCAGCCTCTTGAAACCTTTGAGCTCCAGGGTATTCTCCTGATAGTGACATTCTGTTTCTGGCCTGGGTTGTTGTGTAGTGGCTTGGCCGTTCTATTTTCTTCTTACGGGTAAAGATAGACTGTTCCCCAGTTTCATCTGCAGGGCGATGGCTGAACTGGCGTTATAGAATTGAGTTTATGCTCCCCGATCGCATCCGACCACTGACTGAAACAGTGAAAGAGTGCTGGCTCCTTTGTGCCAGGCAGCGGCAGCTGAGCAATGCTGTTTCTGGCTGTGTGTCCACTACACAGTTGCCTTTCAGTTGGGAAGCCCAGAGCCTTATTTGGCTGGTGTTGTTGATTCCATTAGGCCATGTAGCCCTTCTACTTTGTGTGCAGTATGAGCACAGGTTAGTTTGATGACTTGTGCTTTCTTTTCCGATCCCGCAGCTTGCTGGACATTATATTTCCAAGACAAGTGTGTGGGTGTGGGTGCGGGTCCGCTGTGCCATCCTACAGCTTGAGGCGAGGACAATGGACAGCCAGTTGAGATCTTTTGCCACTCGAGTTTGAACGTGTCAGTGGTTTTGACGAAAGAAAACCGGTCCGGGCCCTCAGTCACCAAATAAGTTGGAAATGGAATGCTGTACCAAAGAGATTGCACCCTGACAAGATGCCGTACTAGACTTAGATATACAGATTCGGTATGATTCAATTTACCGACAATCTTTGGATTTTGTTTGCCCCCAGTACCCAGGTTCTTTATATGTGGAGAAGCTGGGAGTCTCTTCAACAGCACAGGCCTCATTGAACAATTCCTGGCCTATGACAGGCGGGGTCATCATGGCATATCATGGCTATAGAGATTTATAGAGGCTATAGTTGTATAGTTCATACCAGTAGTACCGCACAAGGCGGTGGCGGAAGTTTCAAAAATAGGAAACTTATAGGAGAGGTTGGTTGTTGCGAGTCCTGGATGGCAGAGCGAAGCCACTGATGGACCGACAGGTGGTTGAGGTCTCCTCTCTTTCTCTCTCTCTTTCTCTCTTTCTCTGACTATCTACCTATCTACCTATCTATCTATCTAGCTATCTAGCTATCTAGCTATCTATCTACCTATCTATCTACCCTATCCATCTATGCATCTATCTATCTATCCATCCATCCATCTATTCTATCTATCCATCCATCCATCTACCCATCTATCTATCCATCTATCTATCTATCTATCTAATCTATTCTTATCTAATCTTACCTTATCTAAATCTAATCTAATCTTATCTTATCTTATCTGATCTTACCTCATCTGATCTTATCTTATCTTTTCTAATCTAATCTAATCTAATCTTACCTGATCTGATCTGATCTCATCTGATCTTATCTCATCTCGCCTTATCTCATCTCATCTTATCTTATCCTATCCTATCCTATCCTATCTATCTATCTATCTCTCTCTCTCTCTCTGTCTGTCTGTCTATCTATCTATATACCTATCTATCTAGCTAGCTGCCTATCTATCCACCCATCTATACATCTATCCATCTATCTATCTATCTATCCATCTATCTATCTGTCTGTCTGTCTATCTGTCTATCTATCTATCTATCTATCTTTCTTTCTTTCTTTCTTTCTTATCTATCTTATCTAATCTTATCTATCTTATCTATCTATGTATCTCTCTCCCTGTCTGTCTGTCTATCTATCTGCCTGTCTGTCTATCTGCCTGTCTGAAAACCAAGCTATTGTGCGAGACATCTTCATTTTTTGAAGTTGACAAGATCAAAAACGCAGCAATTCTGCGAGACTTCTTCATTTTTGGAACTTAACAACATCCAAAACGAAGCAATTCTGCGAGAATTCTTCAATTTTTGAATTTGACAGCATCAACTAGACAACGGATGGCCCGAGAGCGTAGAGGAGCAGGGTCTTCTCTTGTTAGTATGGAGACACCATATTACAAGACAATATATTAAAGATGTGCTATAGGCAGTCGAGAAGAGGAGTATCAAGACAATATAGCACAAGTACAAGACAATAGTTTGCATCGCAAACACTTTTACACACAGAAGCTTTTACACACAGACGCTTTTACACACAAAAGCTTTTACACACAGAAGCTTTTACACACAGAAGCTTTTACACACAAAAGCTTTCACACACACAGAAGCTTTTACATACAGGCACTTTCACACACAGACACTTTTACACACAGACGCTTGTACACACGGACGGTTCTACACACAGACACTTTTACACACAGACGCTTTTACACAGACGCTTTTACACACAAAGCTTTTACCCACAGAAGCTTTTACAGACAGAAGCTTTTACACACAAAAGCTTTTACACACAGACGCTTTTACACACAGACGCTTTTACACACAGACCCTTTTACACACAAGAGCTTTTACACACAGAAGCGTTTACACGCAGACGCTTTTACACACAAAAGCTTTTACACACAGAAGCTTTTACACATAGACGCTTTTACACACAGACACTTTTACACACAAACACTTTTACACACAAACACTTTTACACACAGATGCTTTTACACACAGACGCTTTTACACGCAGACACTTTTACACACAGACGCTTTTACACACAGACGCTTTTACACACAGACGCTTTTACACACAGACGCTTTGACACACAGACACTTTTGCACACAAAAGCTTTTACACACAAACACTTTGACACACAGACAACGCTTTTACACACTAACACTTTTACACACAGACGCTTTTACACACAGACGCTTTTACACACAGACGCTTTTACACACAGACGCTTTTACACACAGACACTTTGACACACAGACACTTTTGCACACAAAAGCTTTTACGCACAAACACTTTGACACACAGACACTTTTGCACACAAAAGCTTTTACACACAGACGCTTGCACACACACACACAGTTACACACAGACGCTTGCACACACACAGACACTTTTGTACACAAAAGCTTTTACACACAGATGCTTTTACACACTAACACTTTTACACACAGACGCTTTTACGCACAGACGCTTTTACACACAGAGGCGTTTACACACAAACACTTTCACACACACAGACGATTTCACACACAAAAGCTTTTACACACTTTTTGACGATCGAACCTCGTTTCGTGCGAAAGGGTTGCGCGGAACTTGAAATCGCAATTTTACCTCATGACGATCGAACCTCGTTTCGTGCGAAAGGGTTGCGCGGAACTTGAAATCGCACTTTTACCTCAGTTTTTGACGATCGAACCTCGTTTCGTGCGAAAGGGTTCGCGGGACACCTCGGGACGACTTGAACTCGCACTTTTACCTTAGTTTTTGACGATCGAACCTCGTTTCGTGCGAAAGGGTTGCGCCGGACACCTTCAAATCGCAATTTTACCTCAGTTTTTGACGATCGAACCTCGTTTCTTGCGAAAAGGTTGCGGCGGACACCTTGAAATCGCACTTTTACCTCAGTTTTTGGCGATCGAACCTCATTTCGTGCGAAAGGGTTGCGCGGGACGACTTGGGAATCGCAATTTTGCCTCAGTTTTTGGCGATCGAACCTCGTTTCGTGCGAAAGGGTTGCGGCGGACACCTTCAAATCGCAATTTTACTTCAGTTTTTGGCGATCGAACCTCGTTTCGTGTGAAAGGGTTGCGGCGGACACCTTGAAATCGCACTTTTACCTCAGTGTTTGGCGATCGAACCTCGTTTCGTGGGAAAGGGTTGCGTTTCGTGCCGTCTCGTTGGCACTGTGCCTGCCCCCGCCTTCAGAAGAGAAATAGAAAAGAAGGAGAGGGCAAGAGGGGCAAGAGGGGCAAGAGGGCAAGAGGGGCAAGAGGGCAAGAGGGCAAGAGGGCAAGAGGGCAAGAGGAGAAGATGTGAAGATGTGAGGATGTGAAGATGTGAAGATGTGAAGATGTGAAGATGAGAAGATGTGAAGATGTGAAGATGTGAAGAACTCAAGATGTGAAGATGAGCAGCTGTGAAGATGAGAAGATGTGAAGATGAGAAGATGTGAAGATGAG